GGTCTGGGCACAGATTCGCCCTCGCTCCTTCCCTCTCCCCCTCTGTCCCCCTCTTTCTCCCGCTCACACGCACACCCTGAACAAAGGTCGACGGGAGACATCATGCCACGGTTGCTTTCTGCTCTCCACAACCAGCTAACTCTTAGGAGTATGTCTGGGAAGTTTCTAAGTCATTCCATATACATACTTTCAAACCTGACTTTTTTTCTTTTAAAGAAGCATGGTTGCCTAGCATTTCATTGCATGGATGTATCGCAGCCCTGTAATCTCCCAATGGCCATTTAGGTAGTTTTCAATCTTTTCTTACTATAAATAATCTGGAATAAACATGTTTATAGTTAAATACTTGCATGCATATATGAGCATTTTTATATGGTAAGCTCATAAAAATAAACTTTTTCAACTAAAGAATATGTAGCTGTAAAATTTTAGCTCATATTGTCAAATCTTCTAAAAGAGGCCATGCTCCAATTTATAATTTCCTAACTAGATTGGAAATATGAGAGCTCCTATTTTCCACCCCCTTGCACTATTAAACTTTATATTTGCCAATTTGTTAGTTAAAACATGGTGTTTCATTGTAATTTGCATCCTTTCCATTGTGTGTGTGTGTAGCTATTAAAAAGCTATTTGTATTTCTTTTGCTGTGAACTTCTTTGCTGTATCTTTCACTACTTTTTCTAGTGGTTTGTCTTATTCTTTAATCATTTCTACGGTTTCTTGATGTATTAAGATATTATACCTTTTGTATCCAATGTGTTGAAAGCATTTTATCTAGTTTGTTAGTTTTTGTCCCTCTTTGTTGCCATATATATATATACTTGTAATTAATAGACTTTCTTAGAGCAGTTTTAGGTTTACAGAAATATCAAGTGGCAAGAACAGGTTCCATTATACTCATTCTTCCCCCCAACCCCCATCCCTCACAGGTTCCCCTGTTATTAATATCTTGTATTGCTGTGGCATATCCAAAATTTTTAGCTCTACATATATTTTAATGAGATACAGTGTATGAATCTCCTTCTTAATGGATTCTGGATTTCATTTCAATGCCTTGTTTAGGACCTCTTTTGTTCCAGGTTACAAAACAATTCTAAGAGTTTTTTGTTGTTGTTCTTGTTCCTAACATATGGGGTGACATGATAGTAAATGATGTTTTGGCATTTATGGATTATATAAATCATAATTATATACATTTTCTGTATTAATAATCTATTAACGTAGGAAAGCCTGTTAATGATTTTCTAATGTTGAGCCGTTCTAGCATTCTTAGGACAAACTCTAGTTGGGTTATGATGTTTTGATAAGTTTGGGATTTGATATGTAAATATTTTATTTAGGATTTTAAAATTGACTTTTACTATGCCCTGGCACCACTCATGTAAATTACAAATGTCTATAGAATCTGCCCCCAAATCTCCTGGACCTGGTGCTGTTTTCAGATATAGGTCTTTGGAACATCTTGTCCATGTGTTTTATGGGGGTTGGTCTGTAGGGTGCTTCTACTTCTTTTTTCTCTAATTTTGGTTACTTTTATTCATAGAGGAAGTCATCTGTTTTCTGTGGATTTAAAAAATGTTGGTATTTTAATAGAGCTATTCTCTTTAATGCTTTAGAGTTTTGTCCTGTCCTTTGACGTGTTGAATGCTGTTTGCACGTTTTTGCTCTGTTTACTGAATCTGTACTTTTGTTGCTGTTGGCTTTTGGCTTCGCTGACTTATACTTTCAGGTTTACTGGTTCTCTTCTTAGGCTTATTTTGCTTTTCTTTTTCTAGCTTCTCAAGGTGAAAGCATAATAATTTCAATTGTTCGCAGTCTTTCCTGTTTTCTTGGAAATATAGGTAAGGCTTCCTCCTTCAAATGCTGCTTTGTGGATGCATCATGCCCTTTATTGTTCATTTGAAGGTAGCCTGTAATTATTTTCTCTTTTAATCTAAGAATTATGAAGAAGTTTGCTTTCTAATTTATTCTCTTGTTATTTTTCATTGTCCATATTAATTGACTAGTCAGTTTCTGTGTTGCGGTCAGTGATTAAGACCTTTATGATTTCTGCTTACTGAAAATTTAAAAATGTTCTTGTGACTTAACACAGTACCAGTTATTAGGTGTTCTACATGTGCCTGAGAAGGATGGCAATCTCCCTTTTAAAAAACTTTTTAACTTTGAAATAATGATAAATTCATAGAAAATTGTAAAAAAAAAAATAGTAGAGACTCTCTGTGTCCCCTTCATCCAGTTTTCCCAGGTAACATCTAACATAACCACCACACCACGGAATGTTAGTTTTCTCTTGCTTCACAGTAAATTATCATAAACTTAGTGGCTTAAAATAACACCTATTTATTAGCTCATGGTTCTGTTGTCAGAAGTCTGGCACACATGTCTGGGTTCTCTGCTCAGGACCTCACTGGCTAAAAGCAAGGGTCGATGGTACCCCAGTCTCCTCTAGGGCCTGGGGTCCTCTTTCAAGCCAGCGTGGCTGGGGCAGAATTTAGTTCCTTGCGGTTGCAGGACTGAGAGCCAGGCTCCTTTGCTGGCTGTCGGCCAGGGGTCATTCTTAGCTCCTGCAAGGAGCAGCTTTCCTTGCTGTATGGCCCCTCCAGCCTCAGAGCCAGCGATGGAGTCTGAATCCTCACATTCTGTGATCTCTTTCACAAGGAAGAATCCAGTCCCTTGGGATCACATGAAAAGATCCGACTCACCCTGGTTAATCTTCACATTTGTTTGATTTTTGCTTGTTGATTAACAACAAACATGTATTCTGGAGGTCTGGGAAGTCCAAGATCATGGCAGGGAAGATTTAGTGTCTGTTCTCATGCAGCTCACATGGCAGGATGGCAATCTCCACATCTTAATGTCAGTTGATAGGGGACCTTAACTGCACCTGGAGATCCCTTATTCCGTATACCAATGTAACTATGCGAGTGGTATCACATCACAGCCACAGGTTTTGCCCACACTTGAGGACTGGGGATTAGACAAGAGGGTCCACAGGCTCACCTTAGAATTCTGCTTACCGCCAACATCACAGGCACAGGCAGGGAACTGGCACTGGTACAGTCCACAGACCTTACTCAGATTTTACCAGTTTTACATGCACTTGTGAGTATTTGTGGGTATGTGTATTTCTATGTGCAGAGCCTCTTACTAGCTACAAAATTATATATGGATTATATCTAGCTTGTTAATTGGCTAATAAAATGTAACATTTACATGATCTATACACTTGGGAATTTGAGTAGGGCATTTCACTTTCAGGATCCTTAATTTTTATTTTTAATTTTATGGGCTTTTTTTTTAGCTATAGAAAATTTTCTTCAATTATTTATTTTCTCTCCTCCATTTTCCGCTTTTCATCTAGAATAGTTTTTAGATGGATACTGAAATATGTGGGACTATCTTCCTTGACTCTCAGGTACCCCTTTTCATTGTCCACCTGCTTGTCTAGGTGCACCAGTTGCTGGGAGAATCCCTAAAGTCTGTCTTTCAGTTTCCTAATTGGCCTCTTCAATGATCCATTCTACTATTTAGCTAATTTGTGGAGGTTTTCCTTTAATCCAGCAACATTTGAGTTCCCAAGGCCTCTATTTGGCTCTTACTTATGGATGGAATATTTAATTTTTCTAATAGTACTTTTGCTTATTCTAATATCTTATTATTTTTCTCCATTCATCTTGCTTCCTCAGATGTTGCTATAACTGTCTGCTTTTCTAGTGTGGTGCAAACATTTGGTGATCCTTGGTTTTACGCTCATGTTGGTTTTTGAGACTCCTTGTCGACTTGTCCGTGAGCAGTATGTCTGTTCTTCTTATGCTGTTGGCATGAAGATGGATGAGAGGCAGGATGTACTGCCCTGGGGCAGGAGGCCACTTGTCACACTTCTGGGAGAGAGTTCCCAGTTCACCCACTGCCATCTTCCGGGGCACTGCCCTCACCCCCGGCCCAGGTGACTACTCCCAACGTCCCTGCTTTGGCATAGGCACAATCCAGTTTACTGCTTGGCACAGAGAATGTGATGAGGACCAACTCGGGCAGAGAATCCCTATAAATAACCCTGTCCAGTGCCCTGGGCCTGCCTCTTCCCAAACGCACTGCATCCAACCCAGCACTCCTAGGGCAGTTACTGCATTTGGCGCAGCCCTGATGTGCACACTTTCATTCTGTCTTCAATCTCTTAGAAAATCAGGATCATTTGTCCTAAATAGAAAGCAATCTAAAAGTAAATGCCATAGGAAAAAAACCCCCAAACCAACGTGATTAAATTCCAGCCAAGCACCGTGGCCTCCTCAGGACTCTTACCTGCTCTCAGATTGTTGAGGAGAAGGAATATTAGTAAATATCAGAGGTGTCAGGTGTATCAGCACGACTTCCCCCTCAGCCCAAACAGGAGGTAGCAAATAGAATAGAAAGAGAGACAACTATGTTAGTATGTAAGCCAATATTATCTAATGCCGCATCTGTCAGCCACCTGAAAATGTCTCCCACACTTGAGGGAATACAGACTAAGGGCCAGGAATGGATGTCCTCAAAGCTCCCCTCCAGCAGGGGAAGACTAGGTCTCTGCACATACCAGTCGTATCCCTCTGCCTGGAGGTGCGTCTCCCGTTCTCAGTCACATTTCAGGGACCCACGCCCAGGCGACATACAGGTGACACATGGAAGTCAGCCTGAGCAAATGTGGCTCACAAGTTGTGGGGAGTAATTTTTAAACCCTTAAGTGTTGGCTTTTATTCTGTAATATATGATGTCACATCTGGGTAATCTAGTGAAAACCAAATATTCCAGCATTTTTGTGTTGGTTTTGAAATTACAGTCACTACTCCCATCAGGAGGGTTGGGTTTACCCTCAGCCCCACCTCAAGTCAACGTCACCAGTGAGGACCTTCAGATCTTAGGAGAAAAATAGGAATGGGACAGTGAGTTGTAGTAAACTCTATCATAGCCTTTATAAATTGTTTTTATAGTCACTCAAAGAAACATTTTGAAAATGACACACTAAAATAGATTTTCCAGTGAACCCTTATACACCTTAAATTAATAATCATGGTAGTTTCCATTGACCATTCCTTTTCTGAGGGATATTCTGTAGGCACCCCCTTTCTGTCTCCAGTTTCAAAAAGATACTTTGTTTTTCATTTGGTTTGTTTTGACAGTAATGGGCAGAGTTCGTACCATCCGGCTACTCCCAACGCCCTGCTCTGCTTCTTGGGTCCCACAGCCCTTCCAGACATTCGAGGCAGTGGCGCCCTGGACGTGACTCCCAAGTCCATATCCCCAGGCACAGGGTCATGTGGCTTTCCCTCTGCCTGCACTAAGTTCTCTGCAAAGCACAGTCTCATACTCCCTCACTCCCAGGAGTACCTGCTCCCCACACGCATCCCATCCAGTCCCTTCTCCCCCAGGGCATCCTCACAGACCCTCCCTTGCTGAGCCTCTGCTTTGCCCCACCTTTCTCTGCCTAAACACCAACAGTCTCCAACAAGACTGATCCAAAATTCAATTGACTAGGAATGGAAAATTTTGAAATGACCCAGAAGGTATGCAGAACCATGTCTACAATTATGTGAATGAGGGATATGGGGATGGGGGAAGAGCAGCCTCTACTCTTTGGGATTAAAGAGTAGGTGGTGCATTTATCATCTGCAGAAACACAGATGAGGCAACTTGTCCTCACAATCAATCTTCCATCGCTTAATTGTTTTCTGCATAAAATGTGACACCATCTAATAACCTCACAGTTCTCAATGTAGGGGGCCAAGCACAAAAGGATACACTTCAATGGAAGGGTAGCTTTTGGGGATCCAGGGTTGACACCCCAAATACAAAAATGAAAGTTTGTAATAACTTGGCACAATGTCAATGATTTGCTGCTGTTTGTTCTTTGTTTTAGTGTGTTGTTTTAAACAGAGGAATAAACAGCCAGTTAAAGAAACCCCAACTTACTAATCAATTACATGCAGGTGTTTATAGATTTCTTGCTTTAATGAATTATACTTGGACTTGTGCCATCCTTGAAATGCCTTAGACACTAAAAGAACAGCGGATGGCTTAGTAATAACGTTTCAGAGTGACACTGCCTAGTATTCACTCTAGAACAATACCAGGAAGTTTCAGTTACTTACTGTACATGTAGGCATGTTCGTAACTATTGGGTTTCTAATGGATACTCACAAAAATCAGATCTTAGGGACCCTTAGACATGACAGTTAAAAGAGCAGAGTGATGATTTCCTATATGAAACCAATACAGCTTGTTTTTAGGCAGAGAAGCACATTGTCATTTGGTCTCTTTTGACATTTGTGACTTATTTTAAATATTAGCGCGCCCTTTTTGTTTGGCACATTTTGCGGCTGTCTTGGCCAAGGCCATCTCCGTTCAGATGGCCATTCATTGACTTCAGATGTGGTGGCTGCGCTTCTCCTTTGGCTGGTGGGATAGCCATCCCACTTTGCCCTTTACTGGTCAGCTGCAACACCAATTAAAGTTCAAGGCACATCACTGCTGGCCCACAGGCCACAAGTAAAGGACATTTCACCCAAGTGAACATTTTTTTCTTTTTACCTACAGAATTGGTACCATATTGAGGACTTCTCAGGGGGGAGAGATGGGTGTGGGGGAGGAAGGGCTTGAAAAGATAAGCTAAGTATAGGTTTCCCATATGTTCCGCTGAGTTCAGGGAAGAATCCACGCTGTTATGGTAACACCCTAAGAACCACAAAACAAGCGAGAAGAATCAGCTCCCTCCTCCTGGCTCTTTGCTGCCGCCCACAGTTTTGGGCCTACGTGATGTCTCCAGCCAGCGGCTGGGGAAGACCTCCTTCGGGTCTGCTCTGGGCTTTGGGGCGTGGCAGCAGTGTCCGGGCCCCGCCTTTCTCTGGGGGAAACGAGGCTGGCACTAGGGTAGTCCTCACGTGACTCCTGGTGCCGCGTGGAGGACTCGGCAAGTGCTGTGTAAGTGTGAAACACTGTGCATTGCCTTTATAAGTACCTATCAAAACAAATGAAAACATCTCATTTAACACACAGTATTTAAGTAAACACATTACGGATATACCAAAATAATCCCCCCCAAATATTAAACAACAAATCAACCCCCTGTCAGAGCCTGACTCACTGAATAAACGGAATGAATAAAATTGTAACTCACGCGCTTGACTACGGCTCTATGAAATTTTTGAATTTGTTAGGTGTAGCGTGTGATTTCTGCACAGACTAACCAAAATAAGCTCAAATGCTTTGTTCTCTTTCGCACTGAAAACTGAGCAGATCTGCATTTCCCCAATTTGGGTAATACAGGCACAAGAGTGAAAACCTCATTTTCTTCCCTTCTCCCCTCCCTCTGCCCAGCTGGGAGGTAGCAGCAGGTTGTTCAGATCCAAGGACCCTTATTTCCACTCTAGCAGGGCACTGGTCGGGCTGCATCGTTTGCTGCGGACACCACCAGTTCCCAGAAGAAAGAACTGCTCCTCTCCTTACCCATGTTCCAGAGAGCTGTCCGCAGGATTCTAAGTGACCATGGCGGAACGCGCTCTCTCTGCCTAAGAGCAGACACCTCTTCCTTGGGCCTGAAGGAGAAACACTGAAACTGTCTCAGAGAGTCTCCTGCTGTTTTTAACCTTCGTCTAAGCGTGTCCACGAGTGTCATCAGCCAAGAGTGGAATTTCCAATTCTCCAACAAATGCCGTTGGAGTTCCAAAAGGGGATCTGAAGACTCAGCAGCATCCCACGGGAGAAATCCGATGCTTCCTCCGAAGGATACACAGGCACCAACGCCTAACCAAACCAGCGCCTCCTGGCTGCATTCTGGATCTCTAAAGGAAGGCTTTGGCTCCGCTGGTCCCCAGCCATCGGAGAGTTCAGTGTCCTCGGCATCCGGATAGCTCCGGTTAAAGCAGACACGCTTGCCGGCTGAATCTGGGCTGATTTCCAGCTCATTCCCCACAAGGCCCTGCCCCCACCTGTGCCCCTCTCCCGCTCCCAAATGCCCTGTCCCCTTCGGGACTGGTTGTGTAGCCGTATTCTCAGGTGTGACAATGTGCATAAATGTCAGGCATGCCCGAACACCCCATGTGTTTACTCATCATTCAGTGACTATTTTTCAAGTCCCTGCTTTGGGCACTGGGGTACAGGGTTGAGCAGCAACACTCACCCTTGCTCTGCATGCCACCCAAACTCCCTGTGGGGAGGAAACGCAGCAGCCCCCTCCTCCAGCTCCCCCTGCAGGAGCCAGACTTCAGGCCAAGAATGCTGATGAAGTGTGGATCAGGTGATAATACTTTGAAAGGTCATAATTATAATTTTATTAAGCTGTGATCAGGGAGATAAGATAAATGTCATAGAAATGTGTTTAATATTGGATACATATTAAATTGCAAAACAATTATGAATTTGTGTTTCTGGTGTACTTTAAAATTTGGGTATGTGTAAGGGTAAAAGCTGAGTCTAATTTTTTTATCTGCTCAATGAGGAATTGATTTTAATTCTTTCTCTGCTAATTAAAGGAAAATGAGAAAAACAAACTACTTACTAAAGCACTAAATACATTTTGATTACTTATGGATATAAGCAGTTATTTTGGTTCATTTATTTGCTTTCTGAAAGCGTGATGATAGGTACAATTAAGCTTTAATAGTGGCATAGGGTTTACTCAGCGGGGAGAGTGAGGGCTGCCGCTTTCCCCTGGGTTGCAGTGTTTGCCCTGGGGTGACGCTGGGCAGCACTGTGGCCCATATCAGGCAGAGCCAGCTCTGTAGGGACACAGCAGAGGCAGGGGGCTGGGGCAGAAGCGGGGTGTGGTTCCTGGGAGCAGGAGCGGCCACGGTCTGTTCAGGTGCCTGGGGAAGCGGAGGGACCTCCAGCCGACAGCTGGACACGGAGGTTCTGCTGCAGGATGAGGAGCAGACACGCAGGGAGGCGGTGGGAGGACAGCTTGCTGGAGGAACAGGGTCAGCGGAGTTTTTTTTTTTTTTGGCTTAAAACAACATAAATTTGTTAACATATATTTTGGGGGTCAGAGTCTCCACGGACAAAAGCTCAGGTGTGGGCCGGGCTGTGTTCCGTGCTGGGGGCTCTCTGGGAGAGCCCAGGGCCTTTCCCTTCCAGGCTTCTGGGGGCCGCCTTGATCTGCGGCCCCTTCCTCCAACCTCAGGCCAGCGACACTGCCCCGTGCCCGGCCCACACGGCCATCATTCTCGGTTCGTCTTTAGAATCCGTCTCCACCTCTCTCCTTTCTTTTCCTTTTTTCAGGATTTTTTTTTAACGTAGGAAAGACTGGTACTCATAGACCAAGGTAAAGAAGGACTGGGCGTGGGCAGCTGAGGCTGCCTCGGGGTGGGGAGGAGGTGGGCAGCGCGGGGGCAGTAAGGGGTGGGCTGTGCACCCTGGAGGGGCCCGCCTCTGAGCCGCGGTCACCTGGTGTGAGTGGGCAGGAAGAGGTGAGAGGAGCCTTTGAGGGAGAGGGAGCATCCGAGCATCGCGCAGAAGGCAGCTGTGCCCAGGGCAGTGGAAGGCAGATCTCCTGCTGGGGCTGGGGCGCCTGCCCTGGGTCCGGGGAGAGCATGAGGGTGGGGGCACAGTTCCAGATGAGGCTGGGGGCATCCGGCTGCAGGAGGCTGGGACGCAGGGAGGTGGTCTGGATTTACAGAAGGTCCTTAGTCCTGCGTTGGGACTTCCCGACAGGGCCCAGCAGATCGGCAGGGAGACTGGAGACAAGGGGCAAAGGAGGGTGGAAGTGCCCATAGATGCATGAGAGGGCCAGGGAGGGTTCTGAGGCCTGTGCCCGTTTGCCGGGGCGCCCCCCTCACCCCCACCCATATCAATTAAGTCAGGGCCAGGGGTGAGGACCCAGGTTGGTATTTTTAAAAGCTCCCCAGGTGATTCCAGGGCTGTCAGGGCTTAGAACTGTTGGAGGGACAAAACAAAATGCCCTGTTACCACTCCAGGGCTTTGGAAAAACTAGAAGGGGATGAAGATGAGGGGACCTGGCCTGAGCAGGATGGTGGCAGCACAGGGGCAAGGCTGGGGGCTACCACGGTGCCATGATGGGTCAAGGTACCAAATAGATTTATCGAGATGGAACATAGCATTTAGACAAGTCTTTTGTGAACTTACTTGGAGCTTTTACAAAGGTATCAAATCCGAATCTCATCTGGGTATTCAGGTGTGGCTCCTGGAGGAAGGGGTTCCCCTCCTGGCACAAGCTCCCTATGAATTCCTGAGACTGAAAAAAGACAAGGGAAAGGGTCGGTTGGGGGTTAGAGGCTTTTTGATTCTCACTGCACGATCTCTCTCCTGGTGAATGCTGTGTGCTTGGTGCTCTCTCTCTCTCTCTCTCTCTCTCTCTCTCTCTCTCTCTCTCTCTCTCTCTCTCTCTCTCTCTGCTCTTGAGTCCTTCTTCAGCTGTGGAGCACTCTCTTCACCACCCCCAGCCCCTTCTGGGAGGAACTCTGTGGGAGGGTCCCTGGTGACTTTGGGTGCCTGACCAATTAGTACCAGGAATGGAGGGGAGGAGCAAATGGCCTCTACTTTCCACCCCTTACCCCTGACCTGCGGCTCTTACAGGGTGAACATCACCTTGGTGTGCACAAACAGGCCCTTATATGCATATTACCATCAAGGCTGGTAGAATTCTGGTTGAAAATTTCCATTAACCCAACACCACCTAATGAATCATGTTTATACAAGAGCTAAGCAAACATAGTGTGTAAATATTTGAAGTATCCTAGAAATTCAGGCTGCCCAGTGACCAAAGAGAGAGGGTAAGAGAGCCCTGGGGGTTGCGGTCCAGTTCTGAGCTGTGGTGGAACCCCCGCCCAGAAGCTTACCCGTGTGGTGATGAAGGAGCGCTGGGTGATGTGTGTGGGAGGCAGGAGGAAATGTGAGGACAGGCAGGGCCCTGAGGGCATGAGAGGACCGGGACACCACTGGATTCTCAGGCTGGGATGATGGCAGCCTTTACAAACAGTAGAAGACTGTGCCCGTCCCCCTGTCTGCTGAACCTCCACACTCCAGCACACACCTGCCGGCATACACTGTTGAAAGGGGATGCTGAAAGAACATTCTGGAATGTCTTTGCAGTGGACAGTTGCAAAGCCTGTCTCAGCTTCCTGGGAAAGAGCACAGCTTTGGTACCCAGCTTGGCTACTTGTTATCTCTGTGGCCCTGGGCAAGTTACTGTTAAGTCTTGGTCTTCACATCCTTAAATTGGTCCTAATTAGGGGGCCCACCTCCTAGGTATAAGGATCACAGAGAAGATGCAGGCAGAGTGTTTTTCAAAGGGCTCCTGTAGGGGAAGCGTTCTGCAGGTGGGGAGAGTGCAGCAGCCAGTCTGCAGGGGGACCCCTCCACACCCCTTCTCCTGGAAGCATGGAGTGGTGGGATGGTGCCTCCTTATTAAGATTCTGCCATTATATCTTCACAAAATCGGGTCCCTAGTTGCCATTGTCTTCCATCCACACAGACTGAATCAGTTCCAAGTGAACCAAGGGATGCCCTGGTGGTGCAGCTGCTGAGGCCCTGACCCCTCACCCTGCCTAGCCGAGAGACGACCTGGCCATTCCATCCTGGCCCCGGGGGGAAGTCACATTTCTCCTTCCGCTCTGGGCCTCCTCCCAGCCTGCAGCTCACCAGTTTGTTAAATATCTGCTTCATCTGCCTCCCAGGCTGCAGAGCCTTGGGGAGGCCTCGCATCCATTGCTTTCGCTTTGCCTTGTTGTGGTGCTTAGTTCTCTAACTGGTCTTCACCAACAATTTCTCGCATTAATGGACCAAGGAGTGTTTCAAACAGCCAACCACTGAGACCAGTGTTTGCAGAACTGGGCATTTTGTAACCTTCTGATTTTTAACTGATTGGATGTTTTCCATACTAGAAGTAGCAAAGATCCTTTTGTTTTACAAAGTGGCAGCAGGTAGGTAAAGGTGGGTGTACAAAAATGACAGTGTTTTACTGAGGTCACATTTGTGGAAAAAAAATGCTCTAATGTTTCTCCTCTGAAGATAGACTCCCTTTAGTTATTTACTTAATAGCTGTGATCACAGGTAGAGGAGAGAACAATTTTGGCTTTGGACTAAATATATGAAAAGATACATTTCATGAGGAAAAATGCCCAAAGAAAAAACTGCTTCCCCCCTAGAACTCTGGTCATGATTAACAACTCCAGTGGACTCACGGAGGGATGCGTCATAACAACATGCCTCTCAGGGATGTCACCAAACACATGGGGGCAAGGGCGATCAGACCACCTCCTTCGCTCAGCGTGGAAGAGAGAGACACGGGGAAGCCAGCGAGCAGCTTCCAGTGGCTCTGCAGGATAAATCACACCTCTATAATAAGACCCCAAGCACCCAAATGCTACACAAGAATAATCCGTTTCAGGAAATGTTTTTTTTTTAATCACATATGTAACAAACACCCTTTATCCTTTCTCTTTAAAAGATTGTACAGATCAGCTCATTGTTTTAAACATTTGGATTAAATCCACTTGACCTCTTTACCCTCCCCAAAATTACATAAGGTAATTTTTTGAAACCAAAGAAACTAAAGGTATCTAATGCCCAAGAAGCAGACCTGAACCTTAAAGGCAGCTGGGTGGATACTAATGGCTCCATAAAGCATTGCCTTTCCTCAGCCTCATGCCTAATTACTCATCGGCATGCCTTTGTTCAGCCAGTATCTGCTTTTACAATGCAGTCAAACAAGGTAGAGCTGTGTCCATTTATGGGAAAGTCAAAGACCAATAAATAAAAAGTTTAATTTCCTGATTCCCTGAAGTCGATGGGGCTTAGAAAATACTCACCAATCCTTCCAACAACAGTCTTTCAAAAAATCATGTTGAGCAGCACCTTGTATCAAATTTCATTGCTCATAAAAAAGAATCAGATAATGTTAAGTGAAAAAAAGCAGGATACAAAGTACACTGTGTTTACAAGTAAAAATCTTTCTGCTTAGGGCCAACTACTGAAAAGGTACAATCTTTTTTTTTTACCAGACCCTCATGTTGGAGGCAGGATTCAGGGAGATCGTTTTCCCCATTTTCTAAATTTTCTCCTGCTGTATTGGTTGCATGACAAAAAAAATTTTTTTAATTGATCAGCAAAACAATTCGTAAATTGTTTAACAAACGCTATTACTCAGAACAAAGAGCATGGCATGAGGTTTCCAACGTTAAGCAAACCAGATAAAAACTGAGAAATTCAATTGAGTATCATAGGACTGAATTTCTTAGCCTTCATCTGAAGGGCTGTTGACCCTTACAGATGTCCAAAGTTACTACCATTAATAAAAAATAATCCCTCATTAGGTCTTTTCCACTTACTGAATTCTCCAAGGCAATCAATAATATCTCGGAAACTTTCCTTCCACAAAGATGCTATGGAAAGACGAGGCAATGAACTATGTGAATAATTCCCACTTCCCATAAGATACTAGCTGGGAGACCCCCTCTGGGCTGTTCACACGGACTGTCTACAGGGAGCAGATTCTGCATGGAGGTGGACAGTCCTGCCCCATTCCGGCCCACACTGTCAGACTGAGCAGATAGGCACGAGCTTCTCGTCCGGGGACCACGTCTCAGGGGCTCATCGCTGGCTGTTGCTGTGTCTGCCAACATGGGGGTAGCTGGGGGCAGTACATTAGCTGGGCTGGTCCTCTTGCCCCCTCCCTTCTGTTACTGCCCGTCCCCTCCACGGGCTTCCCTTTTTCCAGCCATTTCTCACACGGAGGTCCTCAGAGTTCCACTCCTGACTCTCTCCCTCTCCCCCTCCCTCTCCTCTTTCTTGCATGCTTTTTATTGGCCAATCACTTGTGTATACAGCCATTTATTCAGGAAAACTTGAAGTGCCAAGCCCCATACCAGGCTCAGGAACCACAAGGCGAAGGCTTCCCGCTGGTGCGCACACTCGAGTGGGGAGGGGACATGCAGACAAGTGAATGTCCTCAGGCAGGACCAGGGTTGGGCTTCCTCCCTGGTCATCTCACAAGCGTGTAAACTCAGAAAGTCCAAAGGTGAGCTCAAGCTCTCTCCCGGACTGGCTCTTCTTCCTCTGCCTCATATCCGCCTCCATCTATCGAGTCACCAAAGCCACAGCCTGGGAGTCCACCTGGATTCCTCCCTCCCATTCCCTGCATCCTGCCTTCCCGCTGAAATGTCTCTTTAATAATCTTCTTCGCATTTCCACTGCCACTGCCCCAGACGGCCCTCACTTCGGCTTCCTGCTATCTTTTGACATACCTTCCTGCTCCTCCTCGGGCACCGTGCTCAGAGTGATTCTCCTCAAACACACCCACCATGGTGCCCCTGCTGAAGAACCAGTGAAGGCTTCTGTCAGTGGGTCAAGTTCAACTCCCTACCATGGCCCTGACCCACTCAGAGCCAGCTTCCACGTGCTGTCTCCAACCACCCACTTCCTGTGTCACCAGCCAGCGCACTGGGTACTTGTCATTCCCCACGCAGATGTCTCTGGTTTGTGCTGTTTTCTCTGCTTACAATGGTCTCCTGCACACCCCATCAGAAGAGGTTTGGAAAAATTCCATCCATCTGTTGTTTAAGGCTCAGGTCCAATGCCATGTTCACACTCCCCATCCCTGCCCCTGGGTCATCTCCTTTCTGACGTCAGTGCAGCCAGTTGGCAACCGGGAGTGAGATCTCTGTCCTACAGCCTTTGGCCAAGAGAGCTTCTGGCTACACAGCAGTCCCCTGAAATAGCTTGTGGATGGTGATCACAATACCAGTGTTTGGTTTTCTTGAATGCTAGGCTATTTTTAAAAAAACAAAAATACTCATAGTTTTAGAAATTAAATCTGAATTAAGACTTGAGATGCACTCAAATAATTATCGGCAGCAGTAGATTTTCAGATTAAATGAGGTTGCCCTCATTGAAAACACATTCTGACCACACCTTTCCTGCCTAAAATATTCTTTTCAGGGTATCTGATTGTTGTGTCAGTGTCTGTTTCTAGGGTTACTAGTTGAAATGGAGGGTTTTTAAAAAATGTTTATTATTCATATTTTTCCCAGAGGTCCTTGATGGAATCATCTTAAAATGCAGATGGGGGTGGGGCAGGGAAGCGGGTCTGGGAGGGAGACTTCCCAGAGGAGAGGAGAGGGGAGCCCCCACTCCCAGCCTTCCCGGAGCCTGACCACCTCCCGCCCACCTGAGCAGAGCCCCTCCTCTGCCTTCCCCTTTTCTGCCAGAGTTAAATCCTGGAAGACTGTCTCTTCCCTGGCATGATTTACTCTCATCGGGACAGCTCCCCTGATTCTAGGGTTACTAGTTGCTATCCCGCAGCTATCCCGACCTGCCCATCATTTCATTCTCCTGGAGACACTCAAAGAGGAAGGATGAGGGAATTCCAATCCTAAACGCTGGCCCCCCGCTGGAGGGAGAGTAAGTTAGGACTGGGAACAGACGGTGATGGCAGTCAGTCTCCCTCAAAAAAACCAGTACAGGTTCATTATTGAAACGTGTG